GATAGATAGATAGATAGATAGATAGATAGATAGATAGATAGATAGATGATACAGAGATAGAGACTTAGATTGTGTATATATACACATGTTTATTAATAGATTTTCATCTAGCTTTGTCTGATGAGAGGGCCTAAAAGTAATGACACCAGTAGCAATGAACACAGCACCTAGATCTTGCTTTCTAGATGACATTATTTAATAAAAGAAACCAAGGATCCTTGAGAAATGACTGAGCTCACGGCTGGGGCAGGGGAAGTACTGTGTAAGATCATCCTGGAACAACTTGTGCTAGAAAGAAAAGTAGTAAGAACAAAGTGGTGGACACGTATTGAAAGATCACAGAAGCCAACTTGAAGGGGACCCCATTGGTCAATTCTGAGCCAATTTGAAGAACAAAGTAAATTATGATAATAATGGATTATAGCATACAGAATAAAATAAGTATTCATGACTCCATACTGATATACTTCAATAATGAAATAACTAGCAAATGGGAGAAAAGGGAAAGTTCTTCTTTACAGTAGAATTATAATTAATAAGTGTCAAATAAATTATTAAAGTAAAAAATCACGAGTTGGTGATGAGTGGGGCAATATATAAGAAACAGGATATTTACATAGTCCTAAAGTCTCTCTCTACAAAGTCCTCATTAAATACAAAGGTAAACACAGTTCCTTTACAGTGGAGCAGCCTGCCAGACACCACCTAAACAGAGTGTTCAAGGCTAATATCACCAATAATAAGAAATATTCAACAAAAAGTACCCCTGATATATTAAGAAGCCCACAGTACCACTTCTGTGATAGTCTTACCAAATATGTATAAGCTGAATTAAATAATTATTAACTTAATCATCATCTGGATCCTGGCTATAAAACAGGCATTAATGTGATACTTGGCAAATGTTGAATAAGGTCTGGGGTTAGTTAATGGCATAATATCAATGTTAGTTTCTCGCTTTTGAAAATTATCCTGTGGTTAAGTAAAATACTAACACTTGGAGACGTTCGGTAAAAGGTATATGGGAGTTCTGTGTGCTACTGGCAACTTTTTTTAGTCTGACATTGTTTCAAAATAAAAAGGCAATAAAAATATTAAAAAGAAAGAAAAAGTATTTTAAAACATTTCTACCTATGATTACAAAACTTCATTTTAAAAGACACTCTCAAAATATATTTTCTTCTCAAAATAAAAATGTTGGCTGCATGCAGTGAATCATGCCTGTAATCTCAGCATTTTGGGACGCTAAGTTCGGAAAATGGAGAATAGCTTGAGGCCAGGAGTTCGAGACCAGCCTGGACAACATAGTGAGACCCTATCTCTATAGAAAAAAATAAAAATAAAAAACTAACCAGGCATCATGGTGCACACCTGTAAGTCCCAGCTATTCAGAAGGCTGAGATGAGAGGATCACTTGAGCCCAGGAGTTCCAGACTGCAGTGAGCTATGATTGCACTACTGCACTCCAGACTAGGCCGCAGAAGAAGAACTCGTCTCTTAAAAAATAATTAAATACATTCTTATAAAATACACATGGAAAAACATATTTATTCCATAAATTATCCCCCAGATCAATACTTTCCTTGCTCTGACCCATTGTTTTA